CACAAACTCACTGACAGAATTCTAAAAATGCTGGATTGATGGTTTACATTATTAAAAACATTTTCCATTAAAATTGTAAACATGACAATGCAATGCTTTAGTTCAAAACACTTAATTCATGAATTTTAACTCTTTTTAAAAGATTTACATTCAAATTAAAATATTTTGCAGTACAGTACTTCTTTACTGTTTAAAGTTTAAAAGTAAAATTTATACATTTACATAAATATTATATCTGCATTTTTAATAGATAATGAATAGTTTATCAACACGACTGCACAAAACACCTAAATACTTGTCTGTATTGAGTGGAAATCAGACTGATGAGCGAGTGTATTAGAACATTAATAATTTTCTAGTATTTTTAATAAATACACCAATGAGGTGTATTTATTTTTTGACTGGGAACCTAAGTCATAAATTGTTGAGCCCTGTGTATGATATAGCAATCGTCTCAATGGGTTCCCAAGACCTATACCAGCATATATAGTTAAACATGAAGGAATATTGCAGTACCTGTTCATTGAACTACATTGTATATAAGCTACAATCTCCAGACATGTGTTTCACTACATTGGACATCAGCTTTATTTAGCCAAGTAAAACTACATTTCAAGTTTTACCAAATATAAATATCCCCCCAATAATAATAAAAAAAAAACTACGTCAACAAAGCTCATGCTTCGTAACATTCATATGAGATATTTAACACGCTATCTTTAGTGTAAGTAACTATAGTATAAGAAGCTAATGTATACAAACTCATAACCTGTTGATAGGCATAAGCTTAATGCCATGAATGGTTGCATAAGAGGTAATCAGCTATACTAATAGTAAGTATTGTCTTTGCCAGTATGATTATCCTTAAAATTAAGAGATTTATTGATGGTAAATTGTAACTAAAATTAACAATAAAAAATTGTCTGAGATTCTTTGACATGATAAAATATAATTGAAGATTAAAAACCCTGTCAATACATAACAATTATCTTAAGATTTATCTGTAGATACAAAAACAATCATAGTCTTAAATTAAAATTTGTTATCAAGGTTATAATGTGCATATTAAAATTTACATGATATGGATACATTATTAGGATATAATATATACGTAAGCCTATTATCACTTTCAAGGAAGATCACAGTAAGGTACAAGAATAAGTTGTCACATTGTATATAGGAAGTACACTATAAATACAATAATCAGTTTCGTAACAATCATTCCAATGTTTTTGTACTGTGCCCTATAAGTTATTTTTGTGCCATGTTGCATTGGGAAAGTGAAATTGTCAACTTGAATGAATTCTTACTGGGTAAAATATTTATGATCTAGGACTTATGTTGGAAGAAAAACTTGTCATATTAATACATGTTCTAATGCAATTTGATACCCATTGTTGGGGACAGGAAACTTGTTGGGCTTTTCGAGGTCCTCTTCCTCTAGGCCAATAACTGATCTCTGCGAGGATGCAACCTAACTCCCTAGTACCTATTTACTTCTTGATGAACAGAGCCCAGAGGCATCATGTGTAAGGAAATGTGCCCAATATTATGTCTTGCTTGTGGATTGAACCTGCGACCATTTGGGTGTGAACCGCCTACCTTCATTAGTCTCTGTGTATGAATTCAAGGATTTGTTTTGTATACTGTATATTAAAATAATGTCCATAATTACCAGAGGAATAATGTTTCAACATATATGAGCCCATCTACAGTATTTATTTATCTTGGTCATGTGTTTATATTCATAAAAGTTGATGATCCAGAAGGACGTGCTTTAACCATAAGGCAACAACTCATTTTCTTAAAAGCATCACAGACTTACTTCCAGATGTTTGATGATCACAGACCACTAATCTTCATAAGAAATATACTGAGTAGATGCAACTTCGGACTTTACAAACATGTAATTTACACATCAAAATTGTTACGAAACCAATTATACTCTTGTAAATATTTACATAAATAAATACAATAAGTCAATATGAACATTATTAACTGTTTTTAATCAAGCAGTCTATATTTTGAAGATAATACATGTGATGTGTTATTGAGTTTGTGTTTAACGATTGTGCTATGCCAAGCTTTATTGGCGACAATGTCCTGGTGTGTGGAGGAAAAAACAAATCCTCATAATACATGTACAGTATTGATAAAATGCATTCCCTGATCATGCAAAAAAAATTGATGTGGCTTACTTTGGCTGAGGCGAAGTGCGGAAATCTTATAATGATGTCATGATTCACAAATGTTCATGGAGCCTCCATGAACCTATTTCCATGGTGGCTGCCCCAGGCCAGGTGTGGGGCTGGAGTTGACACGAAGATATTTGTATGTGTCACTTGAGAAATTTATGTAATAAATTATATGGAACACTGAAATGCTCAAACATGTTCGTGTCATTAATATGCATAGCATATTATATTCTTGAGACAATAAAACACACTGTTTTTACTGCTATTCACTGTATACACACTTTATATTTAACTATCTATATTTTCATGCACCATCATGAATGAATAAACAGTTATGGTGAGTGTGATACCCTCATAATTCAAGCACAGCACAATGCCACAAGATAGTTGCCAATGCCACCTGACACATCAACATGCCTCCCAATATACTGTGCACATTGCTAACTGTAGCCATAACACTGCTATTATTATCAGAATCCTAGTCACTAAATTCTGAATATGAATAATTTTTCACAAGTTTATTGTCTAAAAGAACAAAAGGTCCAGTTTCATGATGTATAGTATATAGATGCACCAAATCATGGCTATGTGCTGTGGATGCCTGCCTCGCGCTGTGAACATCGTAATCTGCATTAGGTTCATTGATATTTGAACCTTGTACATAATTTTTATCACAGTCAAGATCTTCCATGACACTCATAGTTAAATAAACAGTCGCTTCTTTATTTCATTATTATTAAGTAACTTTGTGAGCATCAGCTGCATGGCAGTGCTGTGAGTTGCTGCTGCATGGCAGTGCTGTGAGCTGCTGCTGCATGGCAGTGCTGTGAGCTGCTGCTGCATGGCAGTGCTGTGAGCTGCTGCTGCATGGCAGTGCTGTGAGCTGCTGCTGCATGGCAGTGCTGTGAGCTGCTGCTGCATGGCAGTGCTGTGAGCTGCTGCTGCATGGCAGTGCTGTGAGCTGCTGCTGCATGGCAGTGCTGTGAGCTGCTGCTGCATGTGCTACTCATGGCTGCCCCTCTCAGTACTGAGAGCCACACATAGGAGGGGTTATCTTGAGGTTATCTTGAGATGATTTCGGGGCTTTAGTGTCCCCGCGGCCCGGTACTCGACCAGGCCTCCACCCCGAGGAAGCAGCCCGTGACAGCTGACTAACACCCAGGTACCTATTTTACTGCTAGGTAACAGGGGCATAGGGTGAAAGAAACTCTGCCCATTGTTTCTCGCCGGCGCCTGGGATCGAACCCAGGACCACAGGATCACAAGTCCACTGTGCTGTCCGCTCGGCCGACCGGCTCCTAATTGTGGGGTGCCCACAATTTTTTCCCAAGGTGACTTCTGTTTACTAGAGGTAAGAGGAAGCATAAGTGAGCTCTGTATACCCATGGAGTTTTAAAAGTCTGATGTGGTTTAAGGTCTCCCTGATTGTGTCACACAGCTTTTGAATAATTAGCAGGATCATCACTGGTTGTGTCGTGCAGTTGAAAGGTTAAGATAATTACATTTCTTGGGTACAGTACTGATTAAACCAAGTTCAAATTCAAGCATGGACTAACAAGATGCAAAATGTATACTTTTTACCTGAAAATTGAACTGTCACTGAAATATTGTACTTACAAATATTTAGCAATCAAATGTTTGACAAACATATAATGAAATGGAAAAGTGTAACCCTTCGCATTCTACAGGTGTTGTATGCTGCCAGATCATAAATTGCTTGTTGTTCAATAAAAGCCATGCAATTTCTGTGCTTTTTCAGTGTCTGTTTCTATTTGAGTTGCATCATTTACCGGTACTGTAATGCACATCAAATCTGCATGAGTCGCAGTCATACCATTTACTTGAAAAGCATCCATTAAGTATTATATCTAGCAGCATTATATTAAATATAGAGAATGCATATTAAAATCTAAGTCGTACTATGGCAATAGATTTTCAATGCATGAAAATTTCAATACATGTATTACTGTAATTTGTCCATATGAAGTACCTCACAGAAAATATTGCAACTTTTAACAGTTATTATTTGTGTAAGCTTATTAAAGAATGCCCAAGATAGCAATTATTTAATACATTGTGTGAAAACCAAACTAAAAACTACAACTAAAACTACAACTATATACATTGTGTGTGTGTGTGTGTGTGTACTCACCTGTTTGTGCTTGCGGGAGTTGAGCTTTGGCTCTTTGGTCCCGCCTCTCCACTGTCAATCAACTGGTGTACAGATTCCCGAGCCTACTGGGCTCTATCATATCTACATTTGAAACTGTGTATGGAGTCAGCCTCCACCACATCACTGCCTAATGCATTCCATCCATTAACTACTCTGACACTGAAAAAGTTCCTTCAAACGTCCCTGTGGCTCATGTGGGTACTCAGTTTCCACCTGTGTTCCCTTGTTCGCGTACCACCAGTGTTGAATAGTTTATCCTTGTTTACCCGGTCGATTCCCCTGAGGATTTTGTAGGTTGTGATCATGTCTCCCCTTACTCTTCTGTCTTCTGTGTGTATTCACCTAGTTGTGTTTGCGGGGGTTGAGCTTTGCTCTTTCGGCCCGCCTCTCAACTGTCAATCAACTTTTTACTAACTACTTTTTTTTTTCTCTCCACACCACATACACACACCCCAAGAAGCAGCCTGTGACAGCTGACTAACTCCAAGGTACCTATTTACTGCTAGGTAACAGGGGCATTCAGGGTGAAAGATTTGTTTCTGCCTGGTGTGGGAATTGAACCCGCACCACAGAATTACGAGTCCTGCGCGCTATCCACCAGGTTACCAGGCCCCTTGTGTGTGTGTGCGTGTCTGTGTGTGTATATATATATATATACTGTATTTTATATATATATATAATGTATATATATATATAAGTACAGTACAACAAACTATAGAGGGTTAAACCTAGAAATATAGTCTACTCTTAGAGCAGATATTTGCATTATTTTATGCACTGACTACCGTGCAAGATATGCTATACTCACTACAACATAAGTTTTAAACATGTAGCATATTAAATTAATTTAGCAGATCCAGGTCATATAATTTATCAGAAAAGACAAATCCAGTACAGTATATGTTTACTGAATGTGAAGTATAAAAAAAATAACACTCCTTGTAGATATTCTGTATCAATAAGGAATTAATATATGACTAATGGTTTGGCATTTTATGCCTTTTATCTATTATTAAGACAAATTTTTGTGTGTGATCCAATCCTAGAACCACAGGCTATTAAATGATTTTTTTTATTACTTTGGGTAACCCTTTTCACTACTGCCCACAAGATGGGTATGGGGTGCATAATAAATGAACTAAACTTAAAAAAAAAAACTTTGGGTGACCACAGAACTGATAAATTTCTTCTAAAATATACCTGTACACCATTTCTTACCCATATTAAACTTATTTCAGTACATATTGCTAAAGTGTGTATTGCATCAGAATAATTTATAAATTATGATTTGGTTCAATTTAATCTAAACTCAAGAATGTAACATATTATTGTAACATAATATATACACCGAGAGGTGTTCCCGCTTATCACTGTGTATATATGCTGAGAGTACACTTTAGTCCTACACTATGTTCAGGACTTGAGGTTATCTTGAGGTTATCTTGAGATGATTTCGGGGCTTTAGTGTCCCCGCGGCCCGGTCCTCGACCAGGCCTCCACCCCCAGGAAGCAGCCCGTGACAGCTGACTAACACTAAAGTGTACTTGCCGAGTGGTTAGTCAAGGTCACTTGCATTGCCTTAATGACCCTCCAGAGGTTGATAGTCAAATCTCATATTTGATATCCAATATCTCAAATCATCAAATCTTATTAAACCTTCAAACTACTTCACTGTATTACGTTATGCCTGAAATGCTCTACGCATTAGTGACCATATTAAATGTACATAATGTACTCTGTAACAATTATCACACCTCTGTACAATATTCCTATGTATATTTTTTTAGATAAATTATTATTATTATTAAGATGTACTATGCTGGAGATGACATGATCTAGCATAAACTAAATACGTAGTGCCTGCATTACTCAGAGTAGCTTACATCATTGAGACTGGAAGTTAAGTCATACAGTATAATACAAAGGAATTATATAGACCAAAGGTATTACCTTTGGTCTATAATTCAAATTTTCAGACACCTGAGTGCAAACATTGTTAGGTTAATTATAATGTATGATGCTAAGAGATAATCCTCAATTATAATGACGAGAACTTTGGCAAGCCACCAGCTTCCTGTTCCCTTCAAGGCCACTATACATTGTGGTTCACAAGTAAATTTAGGTAAAACAGTTGCCTTGTTGAGGTTACTCTAGCCATGGGCCAGACTGTATCTATAGCACAAATTCATTTGCTGGCCAGATCCCTGCAGTGCGCTTAACCTGACAGACCAACAGCATATAAATACAGAATTTAATTATTTTACTATACTGTAAATGACTTGTATGCACTGTAAGATCAACATTATTAAGCTTTAAATTTGTTCTTTAAAAAACATTTCCTTCCAGAGCCCTTGTGAGAGAATTAACCTAATATATAATTAAATGTGCGGAAAATCCACAGAGAAATGGAAAAGAAAGTTGAACGTTTCGGCCGATCAATGCTGTTTCGGCCTTGATCAGCCGAAACGTTCATCTTTCTTTTCCATTTCTCTGGATTTTCCGCATACAAATGATCAGTGTTTCGTGCTCGTCAATTCCATATAATTAAATGTATTCCAGCTCCCTCAGCAATGTTAGTTTTGTCTCCCTTGTCATTATACATATTGAATTTCTTATGCTAGATACAGTATACCAAACTGGATCAATCTTATTTATACAGAACAGTTCACTAGCAAAACTTTGTTAAATCTAACTAGACAAATTCTTGTGAAGAATTGTGTTGAGTGTAAAAGGTCTTCTCAATATGGTGGCATCTTAGCAGCATTATCTGCACTTACTGCTTACGTTTACAATATCGCTTGTTACTTGACTTAAACAAGAGCTTCTAAAGCTTTGAAAACATATAAAGTAATTTACATTATTAGCCGAGCAAATTATTTTTATCGTGCTAGATAAAACAAATTTAATAGCCAGAAATTAAATACAGTACAAATCAAGTGTAGAAGACTTAAATATAATAACAAATATTTGCAATATATATCCACTGAAGTAATCAATAGATTATAAACTAGTGAAGGTTGTCACAATATATGTATATGTATAAATATATATACACATTTTAGCTTTATACTAGATTTATATACTGTTCTGTACTAACTTGTGTTTTTCTGGAATTGTAAATATAAAAATACAATACTGGAGCAAGTAATACTAATTATATAAATTGTTCACTTTGGATAAGAGCTACACAGATGGGTTATTTTTAACTATACAGGTATCTATAGCTCCATGCTGAATAGGGATAATATTTTCAAATAATTCATTTTTATCACAAATTAAATGTTCTCAGACTGATATTAATAAAGGAATGAAATTATCACACTCAGTCTTAAGCTTATCATCCTTATAATGAACTGTATTCATTTACAGTATCAGAAAACATTCATATCTCACACCCTGTTATTATTTGGTAAGTTAAAGTTAAACTTTAGACAGTTTCTATATGTTGTTCATTACTCCTTTTACGGTGGATAAAATAACACATAAACATGAGGAGCGTCCCAGATGCGAGGCTGGCCATAGAGAATAAAAGAACGCCATCATAGTTACCAGTGCTGTCCACAATGTAACCTGTAAGGCAAGATATGTATTAAACTACAGTACATTGGTTGTTTAATAACTATACTGGCACATAGAAAAACTATATACAGGGACACAAACAAAATCAAGACAAGACAGACGGAAAAGTTTAGGAAGAGGACCACTTTACTTCTGCAACAGCTTCCATTAGACCACACCATATTGAAGATGACCATTGTAGCGCCATAAGAAATTGTTTTAATGCAAACTCTGTGTTATCTAATCAGCCACGTATGCCTTAGCCAGTGGAAGTAGAAATGTTGCAGGGCAGAGAGACAATAAGAAAAGTGATAAATGGGAAATTATCTCTGTTCAGGTTTCGTATTGATACCAAAATGAGCGATGTAACACAAAAACTGACATGAAAAAAATGAAAAGAGTATACACATTTTAGTGGTTGCGCGTTCACGGGTAATGATCGGTCGATTTTTGGGTTTCTTGCGGGTGGCACGAGGGGCTTTTTGACCTTATATGCCTATACAGTATCTCTTTAGAGAATTCTATTGCGAACATTTTGATACCAAAATGAATGATGTAACACAAAAATTTACGTGAGAAAATACATTTTAGTGCAAGTGATGTGGATATGCGGATGTGTTCTCACTCGAGGGGTAACGCTTGGCCGATTTTTGGGTTTGCTGCGGGTGGCATGCCAGGCTTTTTGATCTTATATACATATACCCCTGTAGTGAATTCTATTGTGAACAATTTGATACTAAAATGAACGACATAACACAAAAATTTAGGTGAAAAAACTGAAAAGAATATACACATTTAGTTCTCTTGTACGCTCACGGGTAACGCTTGGCCGATTTTTGGGCATGCTGCAGGTGGCATGCTGGCCTTTTGTACTTTATATGCAGATACCCCTGTAGGAAATTTAATTGCAAACACTGTGATATCAAAATGAATGACATAACATGAAAATTGAGATGACAAAACTGAAAAGAGTACAGACATTTTAATCTGGCCACGCGCCGACACGCGAAACTCCCGGCCCTACTTGAAGTAGGCTGGGGCACACACACACCGAGGCGGCAAATTGTTAAAATATGGAGTAAATTTAATTTTAAATGTATCAGGACAAACATGAATACAAGTGGGGAAGAAATGTTTGGCATTAGCTATTTTCTGAAACTGATATTAAAGTGCAAACCAAATACTGTACAGAACATGAATTCAGCATTTGGTATTTTTATTTTTTTTTTATTTTTTTTTTATTTATATATATATATATATATATATATATATATATATATATATATATATATATATATATATATATATATATATATATATATATATATATGCAAGAAGGTACATTGGGATTGTGAGGATACATAGCATAGTAATTACATTCTTGTAAAGCCACTAGTATGCGCAGTGTTTCGGGCAGGTCCTTCATCTAAGAAACTTATAAGTAGGTAAATACTTGCAAAATTTATAAAAATGATAACAGATAACATTGTAGGTACTTACCAGCAATGGGTGCCCCAATAAGAGCTCCTAGACCTCCCAGGAAGAGAATGTGTCCAAACACTGTTATGAGCTTTTCTCTGCCAAACACCATGGATGGAGCAACAGCAATGAGAACATTTTGTCCACCGTACAGGAATCCAAATATTACAGTGAGTACGAGAAGTTGAGTACTTGTCTTGATAAATATATGACCAACCATCACCACTGCACATAAGAGCAGCGCCAAGCCATACGCAAACACTGAATCAATGCACTGCAAGCAGAGAAACATTAATAACTAAAGTTTTAAAATTAGCATCATAGTACAATACAGTAAAGTAATAATATACAGTATGCCTACATTATAATAAACCAAATTATGGTAATTTATCCAACGATTTTTGGAAATGTGTGGTGCAGCATAAAGCCGTTTTAATTATCATAGTATCATTCATAACATTATGATACATATTTTATAGTACATATTAAACACACTAGTATTTAATATGTATATACTGTACAATAATTCAAAAAATGTTATACTGTATATATATCTGAACTTAAAAATATCACTAACTTGTAAACTTCAAAGTACTGTACTGTAAATATTAACAAGTATTATGTAAAAAGAATGTGTTACTGACTTAACAAAGATATTATTGATGAATATAATATACTGTATGCATGAACAATTAAAATACATTCAAGTAGCACAAGTAAGCTATAGATTACTTAAATTTTATATGAGAAAATCCACAGGAGCCGTGATGAGGGGTCGAACCCATGCGCTAGGTGTTCCCACCAGTGTGAACCCCTGGTTTGGCTTCAGTGGAAGCCTTGGGAATACTCGAGGGTGCAGTAGTACCCAAGGTTGCAATTCTTGGGACCATGTTGTGGCATAGTCGACTAGAACGTGCACATCTGGGAACACCCAGTGCATAGGTTTGAACTCTCATCACGACTCCTGTGGATTTTTAAATTAATATATCACGAGAATGTGATTTCTCTGTCTAAGTTTTATATTTCATGCATACTATATATATGCACGGCATATGTACAAGTCAATGAATCGTGTGCAACTCATTATTAAAGCAATGGGTATTAACCATATGAAATCTGGGTGCATAATTCCAACTCCATTATTTATATCTGAAAATGTGTAGACAAATTAATTAACCCATGACGAGTTATTCAGTCTGTCTCATGCCTAATACAAAAAAATATACAAATATTGTAATTAAAACTTAAGTCAAAATACAATGAACTGGTTACCTAAAAAATGTCTATGCATTCAAAAATTTTTACCTTACTTGTTTTGTAGGATATACTAAACCACAAAATAATTTCACAACTGTATTTCCTGTTTAAAGGATAATACTGTACTAAACCTAGTAAAGAATACACTGCCCTCCCGATCAAATGAACTAATCTATACCAAACCTCATCCAAAATGCCACTGCATCCATCTTGTTTGAGTTTTGCAAATTGTTACAACAAGAAGTATTGTACTACTCTTTTTTTTTTTTCTTTATTCACCATAAATAACAATGTATTTCTTAATATTTCAAGTCCAAATGAATCAACAAATATTTTACATATATTACTGTTAAATTGTTCTGCAGTAATTATTAAAAGATATTCACTTATATAGTGGTCAAATAATTTGTTTTATCGAGACTAATATCCACCAAAATTCAGAGCTTCCATTGTAACCAGTATTTTGGGTGATCCCATTAGGTTGAAACAGGAGAGCACTGTGAATTGTACATTTCATAGGTTGCTATATTATTAATATTGTTAGTTATTTCATCATAACATTTGATCATCAAGTGTGATGAACAAGGGGTAACTCACCTTCATGTTCATCAAGAAGCCAGTAAACATTCTACCACAAAGGTCTCCAATACCAATGCCAGAAAGTGCCATTGAATAGTAGTCCCCTAAGCCCTTAGAGTCTGCAAAATCTTTATAGATAATGTACAGGCACAAAGTTCCCAACATTGCAAAGAAGACTGCAAAGTCCATGAGCCAGAATCGGGCATCTAAGAGAGGATGATTATTTGAACTCCTGTAAATAAAATATAAATGCAATAAATATTCATAGATGTGAATTAATGAAATACATTTACAATATTTTACTGAATTTACAGTATTTCCATTTGTAATAATATAAAATACAATCACTGATACATAAATGCAACATGGATAATATGTATTTAATTCAGAAGATTGAGGGATAAAATGAGTGGTATAAAAATTGATTTTGTTTCGTTTGAGATATTAATTTGTATGCTTTTGGGAAGTGGACAATGGAAAACAGTAGAGTGAAAATCTAAAATGCTCATAATCTGAGGCTTATTACTTATACTGTAGCAAGAACAATATATAAAGACAAATTGCAGAGGAAAATAAAAAAGCAACAGGGATGTGAAAAAATAACTATTTGCATCATAGTGAAGTCTGAAAATTATACAGTATCATTACACTGGAGTGAATGTGGCTCAATAAATAATGTTTAAATAGGGGTGGAGGAGCTCTATTGCCTATAGTGTAATTATAAAATAAAATATTACCTTGTAAAATTGTTAATAACAGCTTGCGTACGTAGTTTCATCTTTTCAATGAGAAGCAAACAAAAAGATCTTCGTTTCCTCTGAAATGTGTCCTGTGGAATGGAAAATCTTTTATCTGGCAAAAATCATGATCGGCTTATGTGGAAATAGGAGCGTTTGCCTAAAAAGTTAATTCTAAGCAATCTTATGCTTCTAAGTTACTCCTATGGGAGTATGAGTTCTTGACTCATCACACTTATGGATTCTGGGTTTGATTCTCAGGTGGGACTGAACTGGCTGGGAATGTTTCCTTTCACCTAATAGCTGTGTTCACCATGCAGTAAATAGATACCAAGGAATTAGGCAAGTGTTGTGAGGTTGCAAACTGGAAAGTCTGTAGTTTGTTCTTGAGGGGAACCTCGATACAAGCTTAAATTATATAATTATATACACAGGCTTCCTGTCTCTAACAAAACAAATTATTACTAATTATAGCAATACCTTTCATTGTGTTTTTTCAAAACAACATATACATACACCACACACACACTTGTCCAAATACTGTATATTTAAGCTGACTTTCCATGCTTTTTACTGGAATTCTTGTTCAATGAAAATTTTGGCCTTAACCGAAGGCTGCCTATTGATTCCCTGGAAGGCAAGACCAAGCTGGCTACTAATGCATTACAGTCTCTTTATGCACAATTATATGGTAATTTCCATAATATTACCATATATTTACCAGATTCTCATACAAACTCAACTAGCTGACAAATATTCAGTCAAATAAGGAAGATACCTTTATGTCTCACGTAATTTTCAGTAATGATTTCAGCTTTAATAATGAATTAACTTATTACAACAGTAATACAGAGAATTCTGGCTTTATTAACATTCATCTTTCATACATTCTCCCAGGTCCCCATGTACCCAATTCATGTATAAAATCATTGTACTAACTCGCTGGAGCATCCCTTTGAAATTTGCGGCAGCGTGAACAACCGTGCTGCAGCCACATGGGGTACAGCATTGTATGGGTGGGCATGCGTGGGTACATCATATGGTGTAGGTCTGTGGGTGGGTGGCTGGATGTATGCGATACACTCCCATACCCAGTGGACTCAAGTCCTCAATGACTCACACTCACGTTTGATTGTGTATACTCATGAGGCCAATTACAAAATGGCAGACCACCAATACAGTGCACATGTATTTATATTTATTTATTCATGTAATTATACTACTTCACTCTTCAAACACAGTTAACTTTGACAAGCAGGATAACTTCATCATTCACCTTACCTGAATAAACATTTATTTATTTATTTATTTATTCAAGGTAAAAAAGTTTTTTTTTTTTACTGATGCCCCAGACTAATATAACGTATATCAGTCTGATAGCTCCAAGGAGCCGGAGGAGCTCCCTACAGAAATATTTGTTTTGTGAGGATTTTTGGTGGCATGGGAATGCATCTCCCACTTATAACATTGTGCCAGTGGAAAATTTTATCCGCGGTCTGAACAAATGCTTTACAAACATATTATCAGAATGTAACGTGTTCGTAATTGGAGAATTGCCTGTACAGGCAATTACATTATAAGTGGGCAACTGCCTTACTAAGGGCTGATTCCACATGAAAAAGTGAATACCCAAAAGTTTTGAAAATTTCAATCAGTATACTAATCTGCACAGAATAAAATAATGTTACAAAATGAGATACACAGCACTTAATGAATTATAGTAAAAGTATTATGGAATAAGAGTAAATGAGTAAGAGTTACCATGTGTTCATCACTTAAGCAATGATTTTCCTCCTCTTCATCACAACAGCTCAGGTCACAATCACCCTCGCGTAAGAGAAACCGAGCTCGGCCGCCTCCATAGCCCGAGACTGTACCCTTCAAGGTCTCAACTTCTCTCTCTGAGTAGGGATGATTATGGTGTTGATACAGATCCATTTGTGATGACTTGCAGAAACTTTGAGGGTTTGACTTAATGCCGCTTACACCAGCCTGAGAAAAAAGTGGAAAATACAGTGGAACCTCGAATAACGAATTTAATCCGTTCGGGCGCCCCGATCGTCATATGAAACGGACGTCATACAAAACGAATGTCCCTATTGACAATAATGGAAATCAAATAATCCGTTCTACCACCGAAAAACAACAATACGATATTCGATGTTTTAAATAATGGAGCAGTCTACCTTACATACACTGAACAAATCTTTATGACATTTTTCATTCTTCAAATTTGTTCAATTTTTTCATTTGTTTTATAGCAAAGGCTCATATTCAATCAAAACCCTGTTTGACAACTATTAACAGAGGAGGGCTAGAATATTAACAAACATTGCTATAAAGTGTCTAATCTCTCAATCATTCACTTGTAATACCTGAGAATCCCGATGAGAGCAAAAGCTGTGGTTGTTGGACTGGAGACCAAAGTCCCCATGAGAATCTTTGTTGTGGAAGCTAAACTGATTGGAACGCAGGTCAAAGTGGGACAATTCTGCATGTGAATCCTTATTGCAGAAGCTGTAGCCATTGGACCTACGAAAAAAATATTTTAATAGCTTACATAGAGACAGCAGACATGTGGAACTCATCACCTACAGTACCAGTTATGAGAAATAAATTCCCTATTAATTGTAATTATTTTTATGATCATAAAGAGGGTGCCCACATACTTAACAGTTAATCATTGGTGCATTAGGTTTTTATTCATAAAATTTCTAACATTAGTAATGTTTACAATTAATTTTTAGAAAGAGTGAAAAATGTGGTATATTAAAGTTATCAAATACTTTACTAAGCTTGAAACACTTTTGCTTACCAGAAAATAATTGCATAGTTGGCATTCTGGTATTGGTCATAAAGTTGTCCCTTGCAGTACAAAAGTTAAGAAAATTACAAGAGTTATGCTTTTAATTTCTTGCTTGTGGGAACACGCCTTCCTCTACATGATGGCCTAATGTTGAAACTTAAAATTTGAAACTTCAAACTTTAAATGCATTCATGTGGTAAGTAACTTTTAAAGGAAAGCTTGAAACAGTTGCCTAATAATTCCAAAAGCTAGTTTGACAGTCAAATATGTTAAGCAGTACCTATTTCTCAGTGCTGTACTGAGAAGCAATAATAGTTTAAAAGAAAGAAAGAATGAAGATAATTTATAAAGGGCAACATGATAATAAAAAATAATAATAATAATGTTTATTCAGGTAAAAGTACATACATTCAAAGTGAGTTACAAATGGAATGTTGGATTTCTAGATTTCTAGATTTCTAGTGCATACTATGCCTAAAGCCACTAATACGCACAGTATTTCGGGCAATGACAGAAGACAAGACAGGTACAAGGAGAAAAAGGAAAGAGCAATAGGTGACATTATAGAGTCTAGAGTAAAGATTATGAAAAGGAGAAAGTTTTTCTGCTCTATCTGCTGCATAGTACAGGGTATCCCCCGTGTCATGAGGTAGCTGTACCCCAATTGCTTTATAGTGTGGACCTCTAGTGTTATCCAAGTTTTTCAATATTTTAATGACTAAGAAGCATTTCCATAGATAATTACTGTAGCAACAAAGGAGCATTATAAATTAAATATCTTTAAAGATGTTAAGATCAAATTTTATTCCAGACACTTCATATATCTGCAGCTTTCTATAATGCACCAGATTATTAGTTCCAATTAGCTACCATATGTCAAATACTCTATGTACTATATGTTGGATTTTTTAAGACTGTGCCTTTTTAAAACTCAAATATTTGTACAGTACCTGTATATCCAAACAACTTACCTTAAACTTCCAACAGCAAAATGTGATCCTCTGGAGCAAAAACTGTGTTGGTTAGACCTGATACTGAGATCGTAGTGACTATTGCCTCGGGTATTGGCCTGAGAGTCATTCAGGCTCAAGATGGAATGTGAGAGATAACTTGCACCAGCCGACAGACGTAGGCTTGAAAATGACCTGAAGAAGAGTAGAAACATGGGAAGCTGTTGTGGTCATATAAATAAAGTAATCTGCACATTTGTTGCATCCTGTACCTAAAAATGTTATTTATTTATTTTATGTTGCATAAAATAAAATACAAAATAAATAGAACATTTAATGAAAAGTCTATATGGTCCTGTGACATTATGTGAATATATTGTTTCATTTGTGGCATAAATATTTGCACTTTATCAATCCCTCCAAGTTATTTCATTCATGTACTACAATGGCAGACCTACACGTTGTGAGACCCTGAAGCTTGAACTGTTATGGGGTGACCCTTCACAACAAGGTCACCACAAATGTTTTAAAAATTTTACCACTACATTTCAGATTTTGATTAAAACTGAAATTTAGACCCAAAATTTGTAAGCAATGTGGACTAAAGTTGCTCTTGGGGCCCCTCCATTAGAGGCCCGAAGCTCAGGTTTTATCAAGTTTCATAGTAATGCAACTAGGACAATAAGGAGCAGGGCGGCGCTCCATCAAGTGACCATGGGTTAAGCGAGTATGGCCAATACGTAACCTCGCCAGAGCTGTTTCCCACCGCCGGTTACGGTGGAAGGAGGACTGCCACGAGGAAACACAACATTTGAGAGTACGTAGCTTGTTACCAGTAACAGACAACCAAGAAGCCTGCCAACGGGTAAGGACTGAGGAATGGATAACCGGGTAAAAGTCGGAATACGGAATGCCCTTACGAGAGATGGGACAAGAGCGGACAGCGTCCTTGGCGGCAGCATCCGCACGCTCATTTAAAGACACACCAATATGGCTGGGAACCCAACAAAACTCAACCGACTTAAATTTACTGTGAACGAGAAACAGCCAATGCTGGATCTCGACAACCACTGGATGAACTGGATTAAAGGACCCGAGAGCCATAAGGGCACTACGAGAGTCAACAACAACTACAAAGGAAGACTGACAACGAGAAAGTAGGAGACGAAGAGCATAGAGAATAGCATAAAGTTCCGCTGTAAAGATGCTAGTCTCCGGAGGCAAGCGACACATATAAGTGCGATCAGGAAAAACAACAGAGTAGCCAACACCGTCCGCTGACTTAGACCCATCGGTGAAGACAGAAACGGAGCGGGAGTGAGAAGAAAAGTGCTCGAGGAAAAGGCGTTTTAGAACCGTAGGAGGGGTAAAAGCTTTAGTGATACGGGTCAAGGATGTACAAAACCGCAGAAGAGGGACCCTCCACGGGGGCAAAGAAGGAACAACACGAGGAGAAACATCAGAAATACGAACGGAAAGAGAATCCTGCAGGCGAGATAACCGGACAGAAAGAGGGAGGTGGTGAAGAGGAACAGGAACCGCAGGAGGGGTAAAAGTTAAAGCACGACAGAGGCGAGAGGAAGGATGTTGCAAGGACCGCGCAAGATAGCGAAGACAGTAGCGATCACGGCGGTCCTGGAGAGACAGGAAGCCAGTGTCAACATACAAGCTAAGGATGGGAGTCGAACGAAAGGCACCAGAACTGAGGCGCAACCCAGTATGGTGCAAAGCATCAAGACGGCGAAGAGTAGAAGGAGAAGCAGACGAGTAAGCAGGGCAACCATAATCGAGCTTAGACAGGACGAGAGAGGAATGTAAAGCAAGGAGAGTGCGCCTATCTGCCCCCCAAGAAGTATGGGACAAGACCCGAAGGAGGGTAAGGGCCTTAGAGCACTCAACACGGAGGTAAGAGATATGGGGAGACCAAGACAAACGAGTGTCAAGGAATAACCCCAAAAGCTTCGCGGAATCTTTGTATTCAAGGGGATGACCATAAAGTGACAAAGAGGGACGAAGAACAACCCGTTTCCGCGTAAATGTCATGGCACAAGTCTTAGAAGTAGAGAACTTGAAGCCATGATCAGTGGCCCAAGACGACACGGCATCAATTGCAAGTTGAAGCCGACGTTGAAGGAGAGGCGAATCATCACCCTGACAACAAAGGGTAAGATCATCGACATAGAGAGCGGAGAAGACACCAGAAGGAAGAGAGGAAAGAAGACCATTGAGGGCAACCAGAAAAAGAGTAGTGCTCAGAACACTACCCTGGGCACACCTTCGTATTGCTGAAAAGAGGGAGAGAGAGCGGTACCAAGGCGCACCCGAAAGGAACGACGAGAGAGGAAGCTGCGGAGAAAGAGAGGGAGATGATCACGAAGGCCAAAAGAATGAAGTTGAGATAGGATATGATAACGCCAAGTGGTGTCGTAAGCCTTTTCCAGGTCAAAAAGGACGGCAACAACGGAGGTCTTCGCAGCAAAAGCAGTACGAATATAGACCTCCAAGTTCACCAGGACATCTGTCGTGCTGCGGCACTTGCGGAAACCAAATTGAGAAGGGGAGAGGAGGTGATGGTGTTCCAGGAACCACATCAGACGAACGTTAACCATACGTTCAAAGAGTTTGCAGACACAACTCGTGAGAGCAATAGGGCGAAAGTCCTTAGGGGAAGTACCCAGAGATCCCGGTTTGCGAACAGGGAGGACAACGGCATCGAGCCAGTCCTCAGGGACTGACGACGACTCCCAGATCCGATTATACAGACTCAGTAAATACTGAGACGTGCTCGGAGGGAGATGGCGAAGCATCTCATAATGAATACCATCGGAGCCCGCCGCCGTAGAACCGCAGAGGGCCAGGGCAGAACGAAGTTCAGAGAGAGAGAAGGGATCATTATAGGGAAGCTGAAGATGAGTGCAGAAATCTAAAGGACGAGACTCAATGACAGGTTTACGAAGAAGGAAAGATTGGGGAAGATGAAGACCAGAGCTAACAGAAGAAAAGTGGGAACCCAGTTCGGAAGCGACCTGCAACGGGTCCGCCACAAGAGTATCATGGAGGTGAAGGACCGGTGAAACATCGGGAACGAACTTACCCGCTATCTTGCGGATACGCTTCCAGATCTGGGCCAGAGGGGTTTCGGACGTAATTGTTGAGACATAAGATGCCCAACATTCACGTTTAGCCGTACGGATGGCCCTACGGGCCACCGCACTCGCTTTCCTAAAGAAAAGAAAAGAATCGGTCGTCTGCCTACGGCGGTGCCTCTTCCAGGCTGCACGCTTACAGCGGACAGCCCGAGCACAGTCCGCATTCCACCAGGGAACGCACTTCCGTGGACCCCGAGAGGAAGAGCGAGGAATAGAGCGGAGGGCAGCGTTGAAGACAGTGTCATGAAAAAGGAGGAGAGCGCGAGAGAGAGGCAGAAGGGAGAGGTCAGAGAGAGCAGCACTGAGGGTAAATAGGGTCCAGTCTGCCTGAGCAAACTGCCACCTAGGGAAAGAGAGGGAAGGGCGAAAAGAGAAAAAGGAAACAAGGATGGGGAAATGATCACTTCCATGGAGGTCATCAAGAACCTGCCACGTGAAATCTAAGTAAAGAGAAGAAGAGCAGAGAGAAAGATCAAGACAAGAAAGGGTGCGAGTCCGAGAGTCCAAATGAGTGGGCTCACCAGAATTCAGAAGAGACAGGGAAGAAGATAGGAGAAACGGCTCAAGGAGGCGACCCCGGGTATTCGTCAGAACGTCACCCCAAAGAGAATGACGACAATTGAAGTCACCCAGCAGGAGCACAGGCTCCGGCAAGGAGTCTAGGAGGTGTTTCAAATCAGGAAGAGAGAGCGGGACACTCGGGGGGAGATAAATGGAACAAACTGTGTACCATTTCCCCACAAAGATACGAGCAGCAGAACAATGGAGAGGCGAAGGAAAAAGTAAAGGAACAAAGGGAACATCCGCACGAATCAAGAGAGCAGAAGAATTAGAAGCCCCAGCAATGGCTGGGGGGGGGGAGAGAAAGGAATAGCCACGAAAACGACCAGGACGAGCACCAAGCATTGGCTCCTGGAGACAGACACAAAGGGGCGAAAACCGCGAAATCAGAAGTTGGAGTTCGAGGAAATTGGCGTAATAACCTCGAACGTTCCATTGAAGAATGGACAACGACGAGAAGAGAAAGGACAAAAACAGAGAACAAGGAAGAAACAAAGGCGAAAGAGCAACAGAGCATGTTAAAGAATATCAGGGTCGGGATCAGGGTCAGCAAGTCAGGGTTAGGGGGCATGGGTAAACTGAGCAAAGACGGAGGGAAGGAAACGGGAGAACAGATCAGAGGTGGGCGGGCGGGGTCCGGAGGAGGAGGAGGAAGAGGAGGAGACAACGGAGAGGAGCAGTCAAGGACAGCAGTTGGAAGAGGGGGAGTAGAAAGAGGGGAGCGAACCCCAGCAAGAGCAGCAACCGAAAGGGAAGCAGGGGCCAAAGAAACCTCCATAGCAGGAACAGAGGGCGCAACCACTGAAACGGGAGGGGAAGGAGCAACAGAGCCAGAAGTAGGAGCTAAGGAAGAAAGCGAAGCCTTCTTACCCGCCGGGGAAGAGGAAGGAGAGGAGCCAGGCTTACGCTTCTGACTTAAAGAGACAGGTGTCCCAGCAACTACGTACCGGGCAACGGATTCCAGTGTCTCAACAGGAGAAGCCGAACGAGAGCACACACGACGGCCGTTAGGAGAGCAATGGACATCCGCCTGCACCGACAGGCGGCGGGGAGAGCCGATAGATGGTGGAAGAGGATGGGAAGGAGGATCGGAGGGGGACGAGGAAGAAGACACAGGAGACATGACAGACCGGGTTGAAAGAAGGGGAACCCCAGACAGAGGACCAGGAGGGGGACCCTCGGGAAAGAACTCAAAGGAACAGAGGAGTGGTCAGTGGGCGTATCAGGGTCCAAGGCCCGGAAACGGTTGAGAGTCTGAGGAAGGGGGGAAGGACGAGGAGAGGAAGAGCGCAACACGCGAGCATAAGAGATGTAAGTATAAGGCGGGAGCCGGCGAACCTGGCGCCTCGCCTCAGGAAAAGACAAACGCTCCCGGTGCTTCAGGTTAAGGACGGCCGCCTCAAGCTTGTAATGGACACAGGCACGGGAGAACGTAGGATGGGCCTCACCGCAGTTGAGGCAGCGAGCTTGGGGAGAAGTGCACTCCGACTTAGAGTGACCTTCACTCCCACACAAAGGACAGAGAGAGAGACAGTCCCAGAGCAGCGGAGGGCACCATGCCCAAACCTCCAGCACTTATTACAAAGTCGAGGAGAAGGAATATACTCTTGGACAGAGCACCTAGCACCAGCAAGAATGACAGAGGATGGAAGGGTCCTACCATCAAAGGTGATCTTCACAACGCGAAGGGGTTGACGGCGACGACCACGAGGGGGACGAGTAAACGAGTCAACCTGGAGGACAGAATGGCCTGGGCATCAAGGATATGCCGAATATCATCATGGCAATCCTGCAGATTCCGAACACCGGTTGCAACATGGGGTGGGAGGAGAATAGTGCCAACACTGGAATTCATCTGAACGTTCTTGGAGACCCGAACAGGGATCTCGCCAAGGCAAGATAAGGCAGCCAAGCGGGAAGCCGCATCCTGAGAAGGAGCAGCAACGACACGTGTACCGAGACGAGTGGGGTTGAAAGTAACACACGCATCCACGGAATCTACAAGATGCCGATGGAGGGAGAAATCGTCAGGAGGCGCAGAATCAAGAGGGAGGAGATCAAAGTATTTGGCCCATGAAGCAGGACCAAACAAGGCCTGATACGCATCAGCACGGGAAGGAATCGAGCGAGTGCGGTTGGGGCGCGAACGGCGTTGAGAACCCCTAGAGAGAGAGGGGTCAAAAGGCGCAGTAGTCACAACGAAAGACTTAGCCACACCAGGGGACGAAGTGGTCACCACCGGGGGCTGGAGGCTCGACCCAACCTCAGAGGAGGGAGGGGAGCTGGGGGAAGAAGTCAGGACGGTCAAAGGAGGAGCAAGGTCGGGGCCCAACGTAGCGGGAGCTACAGAGCCTGGTCTTCCAATACTGGCCGACTCGGGGGCTTGGTCGCCCACCCCACGAGCCTGAGAGGGTACAACGGAAACATTCAACGACATAGAGACGAAAAGTGACAAATTCATCCACGAATGTGCCCCATACCCACCATGGAGCCACAATTAGAGGCAGGACACCCAACAGGAAGCTATCGCCGATCATGCCGGGGCCCCCTAGGGGTGCGTCGTGAGTATACGCCCACAAACGCCACCTTAAGAACCGTCAGTCCGTCGAGATCGGGTTCAGCGACGAAAGGGGGATTGACAATAAAAGGTTCCCCTCGCTCGAGACGTCGGGTACTACAGTTCTACGGGTGCAAGAGTATGCCTCCTCAAGCACCGGGCGTCAAAATAGAAGAAGTCCAAAGAAATAATCCAAAACAAGCAAAAGGTCGGCAGGAAACGACAAGCAGATAGGAGAAGAGGGGGGAGGAAAAACGAAACATAAGGAAAAGGAAAAGCGATCTGGCACAATTGGAGAAGACAGCAGCAGGAGTGCAAGGCCAGAAAAGGACAGAGGACTGCCCAATGGAGCATCACACTCCGGCAGCCGTCCACCAAGCCCCCTCACGACGCCAACGGGCCGGAAGGGGAGGGGGAAGTTTCATAGTAGTTCTGTCCTTGACTGCATATACAGTACACTGGGTATATAAAATAAAAATTTAAGAAAAATTATTTATTATATGTATGGTAAACAGCATGGTCCCTGTGACAATCTGATAAATTTTGTTTTATTTGTAGTACAACCTTTCACTAGAAACTTTAGATGACTACAGTACACTGAAATCATCTTCAAGTCACATCTAATGCTTATGAGAAAAAAAAAATCCTTTGGGTAAGCATCTGTTGTTTAGTTTTTCCTTACAGCAGGTAGGAGAGGAAAAATTATTCATAACTGAGTGCTCTAGTAACCAACAGCTCTCAATCTTGACCCTGTTGTATATACAGTAGTGTATTTGACAATTAACTATGTTCTTCATTAAAGGCTGTTCAGTAAAAAATAACAAAATTCATAAAGATATCTATACTGTACCTGTCATTTAGAGTCTTTTCAAAAAGAATTCGACTCTTTGAAGATGGAAATCCTTTATT